AATAATAATAATAGTTTGATTGATTGTCCTGTTTTATGTTGAAATGTCTTAGTTTTTTGTGTTATTTTTTTCTGAAATGAAGAAAAAAAAAACCTGCAACCACCACTCCAGTATTTCTAATCACATCACATAACATCAAATACACTGCACAGTACACCACAGAGTATTTATTTATTTTTGGCCACAGGTAGAGTAACTGTGAAGGCCAGACGAGACAGTCAGTTCTTATATTGAATATTCATGCTATTATGGGGGGAATAACCCCTGGCTGCCAGTGTGTGCGCTTAATATCCTTAATCACCTGCATCTCATTGAGGGGTCCGGGACACACCTCCACTCATTAAAATGATGGATGGAGGCATACGGGAACGATCCCCCTCTGTTCCAAATTTGTTCTTGTTTAGAAAGGTGCTTATTAGAGACTACCTGAGGGAAGGAAGGGGGATGGGAGCTCCGAGAGCTGGAAGAATAGGTGGATCAGAAAGGTAGTACATATGTTATTATAAATTCATTTCTTAATTCTCTTAGTATGGTTGTGTGTTCATTTATTGTTGTGATCACCAAATGACAGCAAAAATAAGAGAAATGTTTCTGCCCAAGTTCATTAGCTTAAAAACATGCTGAATTGAATCCAATGAAAAAATCATGAGCTGCTGTTTGATTTATCTTGCACAATGAGATACTGACTCTGTTTTCAAAATGTACAGGAGAGGGCTTGGACTGGTCTCTTTACACCACAGTGAGACGGGCCTTAAGCTGAGGGCAGCTTGTAAAAAACAGGACTTCTACTGGAGTTCCTCGAGACTCAGGAGGGAACAGGAAGGGGAAGGTACAATCTCTTCTTTCTTCATCTCTGATGTTTGAATAAGCCAGACAGACAGAGCTTGACATTAAAGGCTCCCATAGGCCAGGTTATTGCCTCTGTGAGAACAAGCAGTAGGCAGGTTAGATGTAATAAACTGGAACAAATGTATTTAAGTCACCAATTAGGAGAAGTCAGTGTCTGGATCCAGTCTTTGGCGCCGGTGTCCTCCTCTGATTTTATGGATATTTTGTTGTGTCACATAAGCACACATTCTCCTCCAGTCTCTTTGCAAAAGACGACAAGGATGAAGACTAAATTTGCTTGCTTATATAACCTCATTGAAGCCTCCTTATGCTTAATTGGCAGCAATCTAGCCCCGTTAAATTAAATATAATCCCTTTACTGTTGGTTTTAGCCTGCCTCTTTCTCCAAATGCCTTTACTGAATGACATGGCATGTGGATATTGTGAGTAATAGAGAAAGCTAATGGAATTGGCAATAGGTGATACGTTTTTACAGCTAGAGTGCAGAAGAAAGGTAGCGGTTTAGCCACTGTGCCAGGGATATTGATGGTTCTCTCCTTGACAGGGATGTTGAAGTACTTTGTCCTTTTTGTTGATGCTAGTTTATATTATTTCTCATTAAAATGCAATAGAAGTTATAAAAGTGAGCTTGTTTATAAAGCCTTGCTAATGGATTTAATACTGTTGTCAATAAATACGAACTATTCATTTTATTATTATTTTAGAGCTCAATAGATGTTATTGCAACATTATTCTGTGGACTTTGTATATGAGTTTAAATCATTAGGAGCTTTTAAAATGAAACTTTAAGAGAATAACTAGGCTGCTGTATTTTTATAGTACAAATAAATACCATAAAAAACCTAGAATGAATTTATCATATTTTAAAATTAGTTTGGCCGCACAAATAGTGGTTAGCATTGATCCCTCACAGCAAAAAGGTCTTGGGTTCAATCCCCAACTTGCGCCCATGGTTTTTTTCTTTGGAGTTTGGCTGTCTTTTTAGTGCTTGCATAGCTTTGCTCTGGACCAGAAACATGCACATCATGATGTCCTACAGAGAAAGTTCATTTTGACCGCTTGTATGTGGAATTTTGTTTTTTGGTCGTAGTCCATGCCTCACAATCATAGGTGAGGTGTTAGAGCAAAGACAGACAAGTAAATTGAGAGCTTTGCCTTTTGACTCAGTTCTTTCTTTACCACAAGCAACTAAAGCAACACTTCCCATTACTACGGATGAGTCCCCAATCTGTCAATCTATCTCCTGCTCCAACCTACCAACACACCCACACTTAAACTCATTCACTTGAGGCAGGGACTCCCTCTATGGAGAGCCATTTAATTCAAAATTAAATAAATAAAAATAATGTAATTAATAAAGTAGTAAAACATATTCCATCAAATAAATAAATGTTCTTCTGATATAAAACAAAATCAAAAAAATTGTAATACATTTTTTTAGCATGTCTGTATATCGTTTCTTTTTTTTTAATTTAATTTTGAATGAAACGGCTTTCCATACCCCTCAATCTGAAAGAGGCATTCATTCCACCCTTTTAATTTATTTTACAGACAGACATACATACATACATACATACGGTTGCACCTAACGTTTGTACGGGTACACCTAAGGGAAAAAAAAGTTAGGCATACTGGTACAACCAGTGGAACAAGTTAGTCTGCAGCCCTGTACCATTGTCACTGCTGACTTTAAATCCTTCGACTGAAAATGTTTGGTCAGTGAAGTCCGCCTTCGACTCTAATTAGGTTTAATCTTTTCTCCTGAATTTTTTGAGTTTGGTGAAATAATGAATGCTAACCCTTTCCTTGGCTATATTTCCACAGGAAACATCAATTCAGTATTTTGTTCCTAGAGAGAGAGAGAGAGAGAGAGCTCATTCTTTACAAACATCTTCATAAATGACAGAAACAACATTTATAGTTTGAAATTTTTTATTCATCTTTTTTCATTCTTTTTTGCTTTACGAAACAAATGTTTGCAGATGTCTTATGAATAAACAACAGCACCCCTTCTTCTGAAAACGGGGCTCAATCAGCCCATTTGTACCAAGAAACGAGACTCCTCTTGTCCAATTACAACCTCTCCAGGTTCCCAAAGTGACACAAGTCTTGTGTTCGACATTCATTTAAGTGCATTCATAGGCAACACAACCATTTTGATTAATGTGCAATAGCTGAGTTTATGGTCATTATGAAAAGGTTATTTACATTGCAGCTATGACTCACATTAACTGTCTTTATCACTTAAGCTAGCGTCGGAACCGGAGAGGGAGACAATCTCAACATACAAAGTCTCTTTTCAAGCACAGCCTTCGTAAACAGCAACCTTTACCTACATCATCATCATAAGGATTAACTAGACTCTTTTGTCTTACTTTTTTTTTCTTCAGTAAGACAAAAAGGTTAATAGATAGAATGGTTTAAAATAAAGTTTAGTGATTGTGCTTTTAGAACCAAAGTAAAACAAATAACAACAAACATTGATGACAACACAGAACATAACAGTGCATTACAAAAAACCCCAAAAAATAACAAAACAAACAAAAAAATCCCATAGTGGCACTTTTTTGGGGGCAGCTAAATAACAGCAATTTACAAAATGGATGGAAATGATAAAATATTTCTTTTCACTGGCATAATAAAGTTAGAACCTGCAAAATGAAACAAGGAAGACCATTTTGAGAAAACCACAATGGGTAAAACAAGATGTCACGTGGACACGTATATTTACACACAGTTCACCTCTCTGTTTGCAGCGGTTCTGTTACAGTAACATCTCACTGTACGGGCTCTTCAAAGTTCGTGTCAAGGCAAGCTGAGTCATGTAAATTTCAGGAGCAGGACTTCACTCCATATTGCATTGGAATTAAACATAAATATGCCACGGCGTATTTAGTTTTGAATGCATCTGTCTTTTATCTTTTCACCTTCCATTTTGTTATTTCAAAGGGCATAACAAATTATGAGTTAAAAAAAGGTCTGTTTTTGAGATGTAAAGAAACACTTATGATGTACAGTATGATGGCAGCCAACATGAAAGTGAAATACTGAGATATTTAAAAATGTAAGAGAAACAATGGTGCTCCACTTTTGGAAAATTCTGAACAGTTCCTTTTTTCCTCTCATCGTCTTCAGCTTTCTACCATCTGTGGGGGAAAAAAAAGAGTTAGCAGCTATTTTAACAAATAATACATATTACAAACAGATACAGCTAAATCACTACCCTGGACCAATTAGAACAGTCCTGTTGACTAGCCAACTACTTGGAATTTACTTTGCCAAGACAAACGTGATGGTATTTGTTTGAACTGCTCTCGGTTTTTCAAACAAAGTAAGATCCCAGTCATCACAGATTTTCCTTTATTCTGTCAAAGGAATGAAGCGCTTACTACTTTACTTTTAGATGTCCACACTCTACTAACCACACACTATTGATTCAATTCCACATATGTGCTTGTCTTCTGGATGAGGATTATGTCATACAGAGCACAAACTGTGATCTGCACTTTCCTCACACCTGGGTCTGTGGCATTGGGTAGCCACTGTCTATTGAATAACACAGCAACCAGTGCATTCATTGTTCATGTGGGACAATATATTGTAGATCATGTACTGCTTGATGCACAATTGACAATATGTAAAAATGGTTATAGCATTTATTCCAACAACTGTGAGATACTGAGATTTAAGTCGGGTGAATTTGTTCTTACTTTGTCGTAATTCTGACTAGCTGTTGAGTTTAATCTGTTAGATTCCCTCACTGCTTCTTCCATTTGAGTACATATAAAAACACTGTAAACTGCAAGTGAAACACTGACTGTGGCATGAATACTTTGTATAATCCAACTAAAAATAGTTCCTGCAGGGCCGGCCCTAGCCAATTTGGCACCCTAGGCCAAATTTCAGGTGGTGCTCCTTGTGCAATTTTCTAAATCTCACTGCCAATTTACAAACATTCACATACCAATTTAAAACGATTTGTCTTTGATATTATTTTTTATCTTTAGAAACCAGGTTGTCCAATTAAAACAGCTAACAATATAATTCATTTGAAACAGAACACCAGAAATCTACCCCATACCTGCCAACATTTGCTGACAGCAATGAGGAACACCTGTTCATGTTAATGAGTAGTTGTGAAAAGAAGAAGGTCTAGGTGGGTCCAGGGGTTTACTCCTGGAAAACTTTGTAAAAGATCTACTCAAAACAACTTAAAAGGAGTATTATATGAAGGTGGAAAAATCAGACTTTAACCTGAACTTTAGAAGTGAAACTTCCAGATTATATTATTTAGTTTCTATTGACACATTCAACACCAATAGTTGGTTTTGACCGCATCATATGATACTTCTATCAAGAAACATGCTTTGCACCATATAACACCTCATGTAGTAACTAAGCAGGCTGTTCTTGAGTTGAAAATGTTTCAGTCTAGTTTCAGTTTGTGATTCAAGCTTGACTGGACTGGAGTCCATATTTGAATTATGTGCAACGTTCAGATCTGTTGAAAGTTCGTCTGTGTTACTGTCATGAACTTATACCTCTAGCTCTTCATCTCCTGCTTGAAAGGTTCCAGAGTTGTTGACAGTCATGTCTGCAGGGTTCCTGCGCACTCCCTCCCCTCTCCGCCGACCCCCTGAGCCTCGGGACGACATGGAGCTGGAAGAGCTTGGATCTCGAGGGCTGTTAACTGTGGGAAACTGGGGTCGGTTATAGGGCAGAATGTCCTCTGAACCTGTGGTTAGGACACATATAAAGAACTTTAGATGCAAAAAAAAACCCAACATGATGGCTGTGAGGCATTTCATTAAACTGTAGCTGTCGTAGTACCTGCGTGCTGTCGTGTCTTGTTGATAATGCTGCTCTCAGGTTTATTCCCTTTGCCTCCATGAGCAGCTTTTTGTCTGTCCTGAGCATCTTTGCGTTCAGAGGAGCTGGTTCTGGGTTCTGAGCTGTCCTGAGGCCGATAACCACCTCCTCGCTTGTCTCGCCCTTCTCCTGCTTTGGGGGAAATTACTCCCCGACCTTCCAGAGCTGTCTTGGATGGATGTGTAGGAGACTTGAGCACGGCTGGAGGTGGAATGGGTGGAGGAGGGAGATCTGATGGATAAACACAAGAAGTGTAAAAAAACATTTTAATGGGGTGGGGTGTACAAGAAGACATGGTTTAAAGAATCTGTGTGCTCTCAAAACTTCTGTGTGTAATATCTGTCACTCACTTGTCTCACACCTAAGGCGATGCACAAACACAGCTGCAGTGTGTGTACACAGCAATATACTGACCAGAGCAGACAATAAACAGAACCGATGACATTAGAAAGGCCAGTTCAAGCTGGAGTTATGAGATTTTGAGTGCGAGCCAACAGAAGAGGAGGAAGAGGGGGGTGTGATGGTCAGTGGCTTGCTCTCTGCCCTGCTCAACTCTCCATGTCAATGAATCAATGCTGCTTGTCCTTGAGCCATTATTCATAAGAGACCCGCCAATGGCTGCCTGGCCTCTCGCACATCACACAACTATCTAAACAATACGTGAGCGAAAAGCCTTGTCGGCCTTCGATCGATAGCTTTTCATCTTCTAATCAGGACGGTTTTGTTGGCAGCTGGACTTATAATCCACATAGGATTCAAAGTTAATAGGTAGAGCGAGTGCCACCTCTTACAATTTGCCTGCTCCCAGTGGCTACTTAGCAGACTGTACAACACTGGATTCTTTAAAAATGGGGAAAAAAAATTACACACACACAAGAGATAAAGCAGTTGATGTCTTTGCTTTTCTTGTTTGCAAAAACAGACAGCTTCAGTAGACTTTTCCGATTGCTGTCCACCTCCACATAATTCCCCGTGCATATAAAAGGGGGCACAGTCAATATCATACAGCAGAGAGGTGTCTGCAGTTTTTTAATATCTGCCTTGCCTCCAGAGCTCTGCCTCAGTCGGAGTCCGATCAATGCCACGGTCTGTGAGCTATAGCTCACTACCAGGGAGGAGCAGCGCGCCTGTTAGATTTATGAGGAAATATCGGCGAGGACAGAGCTCAGGTCTGAAAAGTGTCTCCAAGCTTGCCAAGGAGGATGAATCTGAGGGCCCAGTGGTTAATTAAGCAGACAGGGCTGAGACGGATCAGACAAGACAGGAAAGGGTTACGTTCAGAGGCGGCGGGGGGGTGCAGACAAAGACATTAGAGTCAAATGCAATAGGAATCATGGGAGGGGTATAACGTGGACATTTCTATATCCTCTGTGCAAATATGAGTAAAATGATTGGGTCAAAGAGGGGAAAGCAACGAGGAAGGAAGGATTTTGGAGGGTAGAGGTGGGCATGATGTTGGTTTTGTTTGAAAATTTTACTGAATAGTTTTGGTTTGAAATGACTGGAAAAGCACAGAGGCATAAAACAAATGGAGGAAATACAATAAGACAAACATCAGAACTAATTTTCTTTGAGAAACACGGCTTGTGTTTCACGTCTTTGTTGTCGACAGTCATCTTTCCTCACCTATCACCTCCGCAGCAAAATTCCAGACCACAGACAACTTAGGTATAGTGGGTGGTTGGGGGGTGGGGAGGCAATAACCTCCAAATGAAAAACAATCCATTCAGATCAAATGCAATCAGCAGAAGGACTTACACAGACCTGCGGAGCTGTCAGCCACCCCCCCCCCCCCCCCCCAAACAAAGACCGAGGAGAGCGTAAGACAATAGGAGAGAGGAGAGTGGGATGGAGAGATCACTGCAAAGGGAGGGGCAGGAGGACAGGGAGGAAGCCAGGATATAAGGATGATAGGAGGCGGGGGTTCGGGGGTGCTGGATACTCTGCAGTGATATAGCTGGTCTGGCTCCCAGTGAGCTGGATATTAAATCTCCCTGTCAAGTGCTTCCAACACTCAAGGACACCTGACACTAAAAGGAGAGCCAGCTCTGGGACTACGCACTGTACACGCCAGAGAAAGTGTGTGTGCACATGGGCACACAGAGGCATTTTAAAAAGAATGATCCTTTCACAAGATCAAAGCAAAAAGGAACCAGAAAGTGGGGCTATTCTCGATGTTTAAAAATAAGGCCATAAAAAGCCAATTACTGTTTTACTTAAAAAGGCTGAAGCTTCTCCTCTCGTCTACAGCTGTTCTAGTATTCAGCGTGTTTAGGTTTCAACTGGCCCCATCAAGTAAAAGGTGGCTCCTCAGAGCACCTGGATCAATTTCATTAGAGCCCAGAGTGGAAAGCCATCCCAGTGTCAGTATTGCCAAACTGGGCAGAACTCCCACAGGACAGCTCCTCCCTCTTCTCCATGCCTTCTCACCACGGCCCTGGCCTGCAGCCCACCGCTCGCCCGGTCTGTTTAGCACTGCCACAGATTAGGAGAAATGCCATGTATGCATGTGCATAACCACATGAAGAGAAGACGATTAAAACTCTGGCTCACAGCAATCTCAGACTCGGTCATTTTGCAGAAATTATGTCACACTAAACTGCTTTTTCCTCTCCCAGTCTTTACAGGGAATAGAGGAAGAGCCAATGACACTCATTGGCCATCTGTGTATAAGTTCCAGCATGGCTGCAGCGGGATGTTTTCATTTTAACTGAATGCGCCTTTATAGTTACAACTCTTTTTATGAATGAATTTCAATGAAACACTTTTAGATACTGTTCAGTATCTACAGTTTATTTACACTCGCAATAAAGTCGAGCCCTTTGGTTTATTTTGTTCACAACTTCTTCAAATAACTTATGTAAAGTTTCGATTTGTCCGATTACAAAAAATATTGTTGCCTGAAGGTGAAGACACAGCCCATGTCATTAATCTGTGATTAGCCAAACTCAAGATAGCCACAGATGTATATCAAACTTGTGCAACATTAAAAACAGATATACCTCAGTAAATTTTAGAAATATTGAGCTAAAATTTGATGTGGTAGCTGACAGTCACAACACAGATCATGCAACATCACCAAGCAGAGTTGTAAAGTAACTAAGTACAAATACTTTGTTACTGTACTTAAGTATAAATTTTGGTTATCTGTACTTTACTTGAGTAATTTTTTCCAACGTACTTTTTACTTTTACTCGTTACATTTTTACACAATTATCTGTACTTTCTACTCACTACATTTTTTTAAAAAAGGTAAGAAGTACCGTAGAAAGTTGTTACTCCTATTTTATTCCAAGTTGTTATTACTTAAAATAAAAACTATCCTGATGAATTGTGTCTCCTGGATAGAGTGAATTTAATTGTGGTTGGATGAGAAGTATAAATATATACCATTCTGACACCCTATTAGCTTGTACACAACCTACGGCTGCACGCCTTTAGAAAAAAATATTTTTTGGAGAAGTCACCTCCCAATACCAGTAAATGCCATTTTGGAAAATCTAACTGCTCACATTTACTCAGTACTTGTACTTTTAATACTTAAGTAGATTTTGTGTCAGAAATTTACTTTTGATACTTAAGTACAAAAAATATCAGATACTTTAAGACTTTTACTTAAGTAATATTTTTAGAGCAGTCTTTAACTTTTACCAAAGTATTTTTATGATAAGATACTTGTACTTTTACTCAAGTATCACTTTGAGGTACTTTATACAACACTGTCACCAAGACATTGTTGCGTAAAAATGTGCACAAGACAAGACAAACAATCATTTTACATTTAGGGATGATTTTTAGAGCCAACGATGAACCTAACATGCATCTGTGTAAGGAAACTACAGTATCCAAGAAAACCCACACCTGCACAGGGAGAACATGAACAAAGCACACAGAAGTGCTGTGAGCTGATAGTGCAAACTGCTCTGCTGTTGCCCATGGAAAGACTAATGAAACCCCATAACTCAGGTGGAGTGCTGAAATAAGTGCAGGAAGATATGACTTTCAATGTTTGTTCACCATGTTTGTATTGCATTTACCCAAGTCTCACTTTACATTCTTTTTTAAATGTTTTTAACAGAATTGTGCTAACAGCTAACATTGAACAAGATTTTTCTTTTCTTTTCTTTTATGTAATTATATATGTACCTTCACTGAAGGCTTCACGTCTCTGGTTCCCTGGATGACCTGCAGGATGCTGTTTTTGCTTTTTAGGAGGCCTCCTGTGTATAGCTGCCATACTCATATTACTGTCTGTAGACACTGGGCTGCCAGGACGGTGGCCCGACTGGTTTATTTGGTATTTTCGAGCTGAGAAGAAAAACAGAGCATCATTTCCCCTGCCATTCTTCACATTTCTTACAATAACCTTCCTTGTAAAAGTTGCAGACTTTACCTGGAGCTCCTCCTACTTCCTGGCCCTGTGAAACGGGGTACTTCGCCACCCGAACTCCTGAATATTCTGCAGCTGCGGCGACCGCTTGAGCAAAATCGGCGTCCGTGAAGAAAGACCCGTCCGATGAGCTGATGGCGCTCGACCTCCCTGAAGAGACATTATCCTCTTCGGAGGCGGACCCCCACCCGTTGATCATGGAGCCGGTCACAGAGCTCTCCAGGTCGCCCATGCTGGACGCAGGCGTCTGTTCGAGCCCTCGTAGTAGCAACCTTCGCGCATGCATCTGCGGGTGGTGGGGGTGCGTGTGGGGGTGCGTGTGGTGGTAGTGCATCTTGGCCACCTCTGCGTCCGTTTCATCGCCGTCCTCCTCCTCCTCTTCTTCCAATATGTCCTCCTCCTCCAGACCATCAGTGTCCAGGGCCAGCGGGCTGCTCATGTACCCATATGTGTGTAAGGGAGAATGGGGCCTCGGAGGAGGTGGGGGGCTCACACCATGGCGCCTTTAAGAAGTGACAATAATTTTGATTTTACTTTTTTGTATTGCAATAAAATGTGTAACATCTTAAATTTTTTTGAGATATATCAAAATTTTAACATCATTGTATAACTGGACAATCCCACTAATTTTGGATATTGACATACTGTAAGTGAATATCATATTAACTTCATAATAACCACAATAGTTTCTTTTATTCCCTTATAGTACTCTACAATAAACATTTTAAACACAGTTTTTTTGCCTTATTGCAATAGTACAGTAATACCAGTTAGATACCAAATAAAATTGGACAATATTTACCGTATTTATTCATGTATAATACAATCTCACGTATAATACGACACCCCCCCCCCTTTGAGCTTAAAAAGCATAAAAAATTTAATCCTCACACTAACTCCAATTTCATACAGACTTCAAGGTTTTTCAGCCTTTGCAGTCTTTATACATATCAGTAAAATGATCATTGGACTGTTCACTTTATTTTAACAACATACAGTGGTTTGCAAAAGTATTCATACCCCTTGAACTTTTCCATATTTTGTCACATTACAACCACAAACATAAATATATTTCACTGGAATTTAATGTGAAAGACCAACACAAAGTGGTATACAATTGTGAAGTGGAAGCAAAATTTTACATGAATCAAAACATTTTTTACAAATAAAAAACTGAAAAGTGCGATGTGCAAAATTATTCAGCCCCCCTGAGTCAATACTTTGTGGAGCCACCTTTTGCTGCAATTACAGCTGCAAGTCTTTTAGGGTATGTCTCCACCAGCTTTGCACATCTAGTGACTGCAATTCTTGCCCATTCCTCCTTGCAAAACAGCTCAAGCTCAGTCAGATTGGATGGAGAGCGTTTGTGAACAGCAGTTTTGAGATCTTGCCACAAATTCTCAATTGGGTTTAGGTCTGGACTTTGACTGGGCCATTCTAACACATGAATATTCTTTTTTTTAAACCACTCCATTGTAGCTTTGGCTTTATGTTTAGGGTCGTTGTCCTGCTGGAAGGTGAACCTCCGCCCCAGTCTCAAATCTTTTGCTGACTCCAACAGGTTTTCTTCCAAGATTGCCCTGTATTTGGCTCCATCCATCTTCCCATCAACTTTGACCAACTTCCCGGTCCCTGCTGAAGAGAAGCACCCCCAGAGCATGATGCTGCCACCACCATATTTGACAGTGGGGATGGTGTTTTCAGAGTGATGTGCAGTGTTCTTTCTCCGCCACACATAGCGTTTTGCATTGTGGCCAAAAAGTTCAATTTTGGTCTCGTCTGACCAAAGCACCTTCTTCCACATGTTTGCTGTGTCCTCAACATGGCTTCTGGCAAACTGCAAACGGGACTTCTTATGGTTTTCTTTTAACAATGGCTTTCTCCTTGCCACTCTTCCATAAAGACCACATTTGTGTAGTGCACGACTAATTGTTGTCCTGTGGACAGTTTCCCCCACCTGAGCTGTGGCTCTCTGCATTTCATCCAGAGTCACCATGGGCCTCTTGGCTGCCTCTCTGATCAGTGATCTCCTTGTTCGGCCTGTAAGTTTAGGTGGACGGCCTTGTCTTGGCAGGTTTACTGTGGTGCCATACTCTTTCCATTTCCGGATGATGGATTGAACAGTGCTCCGTGAGATGTTCAAAGCTTGGGAAATCTTTTTATAACCTAAGCCTGCTTTAAACTTCTCCAAAACCATATTCCTAACCTGTCTGGTGTGTTCTTTGGACTTCATGATGCTGTTTGCTCCCCAATATTCTCTTAACCAACATCTGAGGCCGTCACGGAGCAGCTGTATTTGTACTGAGATTAGATTACACACAGGTGGACCCTTTTGAGTCATTAGCAGTCATCAGGCAACTTCTGAATGCAATTGGTTGCACTCAGGGAAAAGGGGGCTGAATACTTTTGCACGTCGCACTTTTCAGTTTTTTATTTGTAAAAAATGTTTTGATTCCTGTAAAATTTTGCTTCCACTTCACAATTGTATACCACTTTGTGTTGGTCTTTCACATTAAATTCCAGTGAAATATATTTATGTTTGTGGTTGTAATGTGACAAAATATGGAAAAGTTCAAGGGGTATGAATACTTTTGCAAACCACTGTATGTACTAAAAGGTATTTTGACAACAAATATACTGTATATCAGCTGTAGCAGCATCATATGAATTCTGGCATTTTACACATAGTCCACCAGGATACGCCAACACAAAAGTCAGAGACTTCACATGAGATTTGGACCATCTTGTGGGGGAAAAACAGATTACTTCCTTCTCATGAGCGCCCCCTCTGGTGGGGAAACATTTTTCAGGGATGCAAACTTTTTCAGAACACCGGTAGACGGCCGCCATTACAGAAGAACATGTGTTTGTTGTTGTTCGAGGAGCGGCCCGGTCACATGCTAATGTCATTAGTTCGTTATCATTACTAAGGTGCAGGACTGCCCCCCCTTTTTTTTCACATCATGTCGCCTGCCTGGATCTGTTACTATCTCGCTCTGAAGCATGGAGGAGTATCAGAGGTAAGCTCGTTTCAACTGCTTTTTACAACACTGTCTCATTTCCGGACGCAGGCATTTTGTGAATGAAGCCGATATTTCAGTTAAAATACATAAGTAAAAATATTTATCCGAGTATAGTGCTACCCCCCAACTTTATGGATGATTTTATGGATTTAATTTTACATATTATACTTGAATAAATACGGTAGATGACTATATTACTTATTTCCGACACTTTTCATGTCGTACTGAAGTGAATTGTAACAAACGACTCCATGGAAGGTAACAAATCATTCTTAAAGCTAAGGAAAATGAAAAATTGCTGACACAGCAGTGCTATATTTAAAACTGGGAGTTAATGAGCCCTAAAAAATAAAAAAAAAACTGGTATAAATTACAAATACACTGGATGAGGCTGTAAAAGTAGATACATTTCCTCCACTTCAGCGCACAGTTTGACGTTTATAAACTTCTGTTGTTCACTGCTTAACACCATGTGGGGGTGTACCTGCGTTCATGGCTGTCTGATGCATCCTGGAGCATCGGCTGCATCTCCTCCTGGGGTGACGGGGTGAGAGTAGCTGTTGACTGGTGGCTGTAAGATACAGCAGCGGGGGACGAGGCAGCCCCGCGGACAGGAGGAGTGGGCCCCCGCTCCATCTCCTCTTCCTCCTCGAGCTCATCAGGCTGCAGGTACATGTGAGAGGGGGGCATGGTGCACTGCATGTCTGGATCACAGCTGCCAGCAGACACAAACAAGCCTTGTTAGCTGCACATCACTCGATGAAAACATCTTTTTTTAATATAGTGAAGCTGAAAAAAAAACATGCATTAGATATTCATGCCGTCTTTCTATCAAGATGTGACATGAACCCAGCTCTAATAAACAGAAAACTCCTGAAGCAAATACATGGAATGAATACAGGAAACATAAGAAAATATTCAAGAGCTGACTGATATTTAGAAACACTGTGGGCATCTCCGTCAAACTGTCCGTGTTTACCTTTCTTCCATCGAAAGGGAGTACTCTTCTGTGTTCCGACTTGAAGTTGGGTTTGCAGGAGGAGGGGGGAGAAGGTCAGCCCAATTCATTGTGCTTTGTTTGGGTAATTTGGGGGTGCGCACTCCCTTCTTATGACCCTGACTCCCTGTTAAAAAAATAAAAAATAAAAAAGAACACCCAGTCTGTCATAAACATGCCTTCAGATGCACATATTTCACTTCTGTTTTTGGAAAACACATCAATTATGAATGCTGCAGAAGCCATAAGGTGACAAGAAAGAAATTGACAGCAGAGAAAATTAACATTAAAAAGACTGACTGAAAAAAAAGAAGGTTTTGTATTGGGGAGCAAAAAGGCATGCAACATTCCCCTTTGTCAGTATGCACATACCTTTAATTTTGAAGAAAAAAAAGTAGAAAACACTATAAAAGCCAACTGTTTTCCCACAGGGGTATAAGCCAGGAAAAAAAAAGGTAAGAATAAAAGTCCAATTAATGCCACACTATTAAAGTTGCGAACCAATGAGCTGTGATGTGAAGCGAGCACTAAAGGCCTCTCCTTAATGACTTGAACTTCAAATGTAATATCAAAATGGATACATGGCATTAAGGTGGCAGTGTTGCATGCCGTCTGCTGTGCGTGATCATTTGTCCTTGTCCGCAGACAGACACTGAAGCACTGATATCATTAGGCTGCTTTGCAATAGAATTTAGAAAAATCCAGTTAACAGAATTAATGCAAAATAACCAAGGGCAAACAAACACAAAGAAAGAATAGAGAACAGAAAAAACTGTACGCAAACTTTTGTCTAGTTTCTTTTGTCTTTGCAACAGTACATGGAGAAAACAAAACAACACAAAACTGCTTGGAACGTTGCTTCTTGCCTTTGTTTAGAAGTAATGTGACCGCTTCTACTTTTACACAAGAATTCTCCCCTGTTGTTTGTTTCCTTTTTTGTAAATTGACAAGAAAATTAATTAAAATAAGCACTTAGAGCATGTTTAATTAATGCTTCCGTCATGATTTATTGCCTTTAGAGAAAAAAGTGAGCGTAAAACTAATGTATATGGGGTTTCAAGACAAAAATAATTCAACCAAAAGGTGTGGAAAAGAATGAATTACTCATAATTAAATTCTGTAAGCACTTCAAGTCAAAATCTTTGGATATGTTGATGTTTATTAACCTCTGGTAACACATCCAGGATGCAGTTGTCTGTTCAAAGATCTTACCGGAGGTACTGCTGCTGCCTCGGTCAGAGCTGTTGTACGAGCCCCCGGTGTGGGTGTCATGAGTCTGGTTGTAGGGGATGGTTGCTGGCATAGGACTGTCACCTCCTCTGTAGCGGTCTGTTGGTGGAAGAGTCCAGTGTAAGATCACCGGTAGTTTATTCTCAAACATAACTGGACACTAAAACAGGTTCAAGAAACTCATCAATGATGTCATGAACACAGAAAAGAATGGTAAAACAATTAACATTATTAATGATGTCAACATTCTTTAAAATGATGCTGCGTTGAGCCCAGTGTTAAAAGTTACTCACGGCAAAGGCATGCAGCTCATAATGCTAAAGTGATTGTTAACTCATGCAACAAATATCACACTAGACGAGGTTCCTTTCAGCAAGCATGATACTGTAACTTAATTATGGCCTGATTCAAATCCGACTTGGACTTTCATTTACAATTTTGGCTGACAGATAAACAACACCTGACTTCATCACAACACAATATGCGGAAGATGAGAGACATGAAAGCTCGGCCCAAATTTAAAGCCAAAAGATGATGAAGGATTGCATGTATGTCGTACAGAAAAGCAGAAACAAAGAGTGGCGATGCCTGTGTTGACTGAAAAAAAGGACTCAGAGGGCCACAGGGTGAATGAGCATGAAACTCTTGTACAGACATCCACAGGGTGGCTGAAACAGCCAGGAGAGGAGAAAAACAGAGGGGAAAGTCAAGTGGAGGAAGATCATGGCTTGAACTTGACATCTGCAGACATGGCTGCTGGGTATTCCACACACTCACCCTTGTTCAGCTTGTTTTGCTCCATGATGTTGTACTGGAGCTGGGAACCCATTTCCTGTTTCTGCTGCAAGACTGAGGGGGGCTTCCAGCAGTGTTTCTCATTGACTTCCCCTCCAACCCCAAGTCCACCTCCGCTCCCTGCGGTCCCTCTGTCCGAGTTCATGTTGTTGCCCATGATGGAGGACTGGATAAGCTGGGTGGTGGCGTAGGGTGTTGGCTGGCCCCCTGGGCCCACAAAGCGTCCATCTTTAAGGTTTGGGCTGTTGAAGGTCTTCATTTCATTGATCTTGTTGGACAGGTCTACATCTCCATAGACTCCTGACTCTGGCACGATGAGGTTTGGCTGCTTGTTATCCATCTGGTTGTTATAATTGGCGATACAGTCGGCTGGAGAACATGAGGAGGGTATTTAGTCAGTCTTTTCTGCTGCTGATCAGCTTAGCAGCAATAAGCCAGCTTAATTTCAAACAATCTACTTTGGAACTTATTTTCATAAAGGATACAATTTTAAATCAAGATTTTTTACCATCACTAGCTGCGTTTCCATTGCAAATGTACGCAAAACTTTGTTGACATTCTCTTAATGTTGAAAAAACAGTTTCGCAATTGCGGTGTTTCCATTAGGTAAGAAACACTAAGTCACACGTGAATACACCTGTTCTCGTGAGAAGTCATTACAAACATGACAGCAATGGATGTAAATACAGCATATTGCTACCATGACCCTAGTGCTCATCATCAGCCATCAGAGGAGATGTCAGCGTCTTATCAAAGCTTTCAAGTGACAAGCCCCTTATACTAGGGAGTGGCTACGTGTGCTGCATTTTTGGGAAATTGTAGTCAGTGAGTTAATACTTTCTTTTACTACTTTGTTGATTTCACTACTACATTTACTTCCTGTCATCTTCTTCGTCGTCTATTCACCAGTAGAAAAGGACGGTTCTTGATCACGTGACTCCCGCGATGCGAAAAAAGTGTTTCCATTGCAGTTTTGCGAAATACATCAATTTCGATACGGCTGAAAAACCACCTCTTCCTAACGCAAAACCATTTTGTCGAAAAACATATTTTTTTCCGAAATTGACGTGTTTCCATTGCGCAAATTTATTTTCGAAATTCTAATTTGCACATTTTCATGGTCAATGGAAACACAGCTACTGTCTAGCAAAGAGATCTTTCTTTTTTTCTGTTTAAAGCTTCAGTTTGTTTTGCCATAATAATAATCTACATTTAGGGGGCTGACACACTTGGCGTTACACTGCTCTCACTTAGTCTCACCAATGACTCAGCGTGGGTGTCATCTCTGTTCTTTTCCATCTGACGGTGGAAGCATCTTCACTCATTGAGAAGGACAGAGAGACATGTCTGTATCAAAGACGTGGAATGAGGCGTGCAGTAAAAGCACAGCATCCCTGACAGATCCAATTTTCCCTGGCTCATAAAATATTCAAATCCTCCAGCAGATCTGAGAGCCAGCCTCGCGGTAAATACCAAAGACGGACATAGGTGCACGCCGCTCGTGCCACGGGCCTCACGTTTCAGCTGCATGGAACAAATCAACACTTCAAAAGGCGGCATGTGAAAGCACCCCTATGGCTGAGATAAAGGGACATTAACTCTGATTTCTCCGCTCTGTCACCTAGTCAGTGATCCTCTTAATGTTAAGAGTTTAGTTTTGGCACACACACAAAGCATGCGTCTGGCAAGCTCCTTAGTGTCATACAGCGGGGTGTCATGCAAGGAGAGTGAGGGCTGCTTTTAGCTTTTAGCCTGTTATTCCATGTTAAACATCTGATGCTGTGTTCAACCTCCGAGGAGTAATTAGCATGAAGGAGAGCTAAACTTGACTGAAAAGTCTGTGGAATGAATTATTAATTCTCACTGGGAGAAGTTTGAAATCAGGAGAAGCTATTGAGTGGCTGGATGGATATTGAGTCGAACAGCTGGACAGGAATTATGTGTTGCTATTAAACCTGTAGCCCCAAAGCGCATAATTTAGAACATAAAGCATTTTATTGCAGTCCAAGTTTCCATGGACGGGGTCTTTGGTCATGCTTGAAATCTATTAACAGTAAGTCATGTCATTCATACTGAGGTTTTTGGCTGCACATTTCAAACAGGTCACTACTCTATAAATAGTGTCTATAGTATTGAAGCAGTAAACACGAACCTGAAGCTAAATAAGGCTTTTGTTGAAAACTGCATTTGTGCTGAATAAACTAAAATACCACCTGGTGTTGTGCCACAAGTGTCCCCTTTTTTTTCCTAAATTTATCACATTCACATTGTGTACTCCAACCCATTCCCCCCTTGTCTGGTTCAAAATAAACTTCTTCTTCATCACTCCTCTCTCTCTGCTGATCCAGGTGCTCTTCTCTCCCTCCATCATCCTCTCTCTCCCTGATTCTGGCCATCGTCTGCTGTCCAGCGTTGACCCCCTTTGCCCACTGCACATTTCTTAAACAACTGAGCACTTAGGGGAAATTACATTACCGGCTATAACAACTGTATGGAAATCAGCAGAGCAATCTGATTAGGAACAGAGTGGAGCTATAAGCCCCGCTCAGTGAACTCTTTTTATTTCCTGCCTAAAACAGCTCTACTTTAACCTCAGATAAATCAAAAGGGGAAACACACACGCTCTTCTACAGCTTCTCTTATGTTTTTTTTTCCTCTTGTGGAGACCTACAGAAAGGAGAGATGCACACAACAACTCTCTTGAGAGCTAACCTAGATATCAGATTTTACTCCTCCTTTCGCTGCAGATTCCCCCAGCTCCCACATTTCTTATCACTATGGTTATTGTGTCAAGGGCTGCTTCATTGCTTTTGAGACGAGTGTTTATTTGGTTGCCTCCCGTGTAAGACAGACGTGACGGGACACATACCTGGTCGGCTGTACGTGGCCAGGTTGCTGTCACTGTTGCCGTTGCCTGCAGTGCAGCAGTTGATGCTGCAATCGTTGTGGTTGGAGCAGGAGTTGGGCCATGTGTCAGCTAGCCAAGGCTGAGTGGCCGAATCTCCCATGTTTAGCAAACCGGGCCTGTAAAAAAAAAAAAAAAAAAGACCAGATGTTTAACAATAGTGACAGACTAAGCCAATGCCACCACTGCATTTATTTGAATGAACGAAAGTACCAGCAGAAACATAGCATTTGAAAGAGAAGATTATGTGGAGTTTATTTATTCAGCTGAGAGAAGGAAAACTAAAAATCCGGCTTAAGGACATTTTTTTGCCTTTTGGCCAAACATGCAGCTAGGGAGCACATTAGAAAAAAAAAGCCCAGTTAAATAGATTGTGTGTGCTTGACTTGCCCAGAGCCGGCGACACTTGCTCTGAACTCTTGTGAGCATTAGAGATCCGCTTGGATTAGACAGCCAGATAAAATTCACTCTCTACGTTACGAAATGCACATCCTGAACAGTCAGTGAACCACAAGTACTCCCTGAGAAGATTCCACGGTGTCACATGATATCTTTTTTTTATTTGAGAAGGGTTTTTTTAAAGGCTGAACAGAAGAGAAAACTAAACTATCTCCCTGACATGTCTGAGTTTCTGGTTCTTCAGCTTGTAGCTCATAAAACAAAGTGAACACGAGATCACTTGTTTAACACGATTTTACTGTTGAGCCTGACCTTTGGCCAAACACTGACTGCAGAAAAAGAACAATATATTGTCTCCTACTGCTGATGAAACGAATCAATCTAGCATACAAAGGGAAGTCAGTCTCCACTACTAGGGCTGTATATTGCTTTGGTATTCAAATCTGCACAGAAAGGCTCCCAGACTGCATATACCAGCACTGAATTAGCATTGAATTACATTTCCTCATTCCATCCTAAATGACTCATTTCTTGGATTCATTTTGGGTAATGAACACATTTGTCTTGCACAGCCAAATACAATCTCACAATAGCTCCTCAATCACCCCAGCAGTTGTATGTTGAGATTGAACGACCATTGTTTTTGTGCAGAGCCGACACAGCCGCACTGCAAACAGGATTCAATCATACAACTGGGATAATATAATGAATATGAATTTAGAGTTGATGGCTTCAAGCTAACTATTCATTAACAGATGAACAACACACACACACACTTATGAAGCAGCATTAAGTACGTTCTGTACTCTGAGCAGAAAGCGGATAATAACTGAATGAGTTTTTTTTCCTCTCTTTTTGTTGGTGTCTTCCATTTGCCAGCTATATGACGACACGCCAAAGGCCATCTAGAGGATAAACAAATTAGTTTTGGCAAGTCTAATTTTGTGCATTCTCACTGTATGTGCAGAATACATTAATCCACAGCATAAAGGGCTGAACATTTGCTGTTACGTTCATGCATGCATCTCTATTTCTGTTCTATGGTGATGTGGCACAGCCTTGTGGTTAGGTGTTGCTCTCCACCATATGAGATGGGATGGGCTCCTAGCAGACTGCGTGAGTCTTTGTTCCTGTACTAATATTCCATATGCACCTACTAACGTCGTCTCTGGTGTGCTTCCTCAGAAAGGCCCAGCTCTCCCCCTAGTGTTTGAGAATGAACAGTGCGTGTGCCCATCCCTTTTTATCTGTTTACACTACTATCATTGTTGCTTTAAAATAAATCTCATCCAATGCTAAACAGCTGAAAATCAAATAATACATAAAAATATATATAAAAAAATAAACCCTTACCTTCCAGCACTGCTGACACCTTCTCCACCCCTCTGATATGCTACTAAAAAGAGACAAAAATACAATAAGCTTCCAGTGTAACTTAAAAAAAAACAAACAAATATTGACATTTTGCCATGATAAGACAAAAGCAAATTCATTTTTAAATGTCAGTTTTGTGACCAGTGAAGGGATGGTTTGCGTCATTTCAGGTGAATCCGTGCAGCACAATGCCAGCTGAGTCATACATAGAGCAAAGGGAGCAGGAAGAGAATGCTTAAGAGGCTTATGAAGAACAAAGATGCAGACCTCTTTGGTTTCCTGGCTTGGGTTCAGTGCATTCGAAGCTCTGCACGCTGCAAGTTTGACTCTTTTAAGGAACTCTAAGCTGTTAGTGTGTGAAACCAAGATAAAGTTCACTTTAATTACAATCTGTTCCCCAACAGGAGAGTAAGTGGAAGAAGACAAGGTTTGGTCCTCAGCTCTGTTGACTCCCTGTCTCTGTTTTTCAAAAGAATGTGACGTTTAGATACTGCTGTTACAGCCTGTACCCAGAGGAGGTATAATACTTGGGTTATACATCGAAATCAGCACGACGCACTGTTTCCATAAGGTAAAAGGATAAAGAAATATCAAGTGAAAGACCTAGTTACACAAGTAAGAAGCTAATTTCACCTGAAAGATTTCCAACAGATTATGAAACAAGCTAGCAGTTTTGAAATGATTTAACTAATCACACCCCTCAAGGTAGACAGAAATGCCAATGCCACTGTAGCTACTGATCCAAACTCTTCACACACAGGATCAACTAATGCAAACACACACATACATACACACACACACACACACACACACACACACACACACACACACACACACACACACACACACACACACACACA